CAAATCACATATGAAAACACTCAACATGAGCCATTCATAGGTTCAAGAACTCCAAAACGTGCTGATTAAGGATATGCTTGGTAATGTGTTTCAGTTAGGTTTCTTTTCAGAACTTACCAAATCACCAATTTGATTTGTATATAAAACTTCCAACCCCATACGTGCAACCCCATTAAGAACAGCATGTTATTCATTTTCTGTAAGAATAGCAATTATTTTAATTGCACCATATAGTGCAGCACGCCAAAACACAATATACGAAATAGCATCCGTGTACATGAATTTAGAAGGAATTGCACAGCTGGATAATTGATCCACAAGTTATGTTCCAAACAAAAACATTTATACTACTATAAAATCCTAACACACAAATCTCAAACATTTTTGGGCAATCAATTTCACTAGCAAATCACTAGCTCAACAACAGAACCTATTATTTTTGCTTCCCCTTTCATATTGGCAGCTTCAAATCAAATTTCATACATCATGCACGATAGTATAGAGACAAAAATGCAATCCTTACTGATGTAGAACGAAATGGGGGTGATAAAAAAAATTAAAGATATAAAATTCCATCTCAGATTTCCCTTAATTAATGGATTTGAATTTGAAATTCAAACAAGAAAAGAAGAGAGGGAAGAGAGGAATTAATTATCTCCTTAATTGGGGCATTTAACTAAGGAGGAAATAATTAGGATAGAGGAGAGAGAGGGTCCGGCCAATGAGGGAGAGAAGGGGGGTGTCCAGATTCGATGTATATGGACCCTTGCATTGAATGCGATTGGAAAAAATTAAATCTGAATTTAAAATTCAGAATCGGAGAGATTGAGGGGGGTTTTCCAAAATAGGTTAACTAATCCGAAAAGATTTTGAAATTCAAATTTATTTGAATTCAAAATAAAAGACTTTCCAAATTAATCATTTGCTAGATTAGGAAAATAATTATGAAGCAATTTGAATTTGGAAATCAATGAGTTGTGGAGGAGAAGTCAGCGGCATGATGGAGTGAACTAGGGCTTACGGAAAGTGATGTAGACAAAGGGGGGGTCAACAAATGTCAAAAATAATATGATTTTTGGCTTCCCTTGAGTCTACTAGCTCAAATAAATTTGAGCTGGAATTTTAGCTCATTTATGAGCTGGTCTTTAGTTCATTTATTGAACAAAGGGTTAGCTCATTATTAGCTAACATTTTAGTTCATTTATTATCTTACTTTTTATTAAATGTTATTTAGAGTTTTAAAGTCTTATTTTATGATGTCTCTTGGGGTTCCAAAAAGGGCTTTTGGAATCCCAAGAAAGGTGTTTTGTATTCCCATGCATGACTCCTTGGTTTCCTCCATGGTTTCATTGCATTTGCCCCCTTGGATTCCGGCCGGCTGCTGGTTTCCCGTGCCTGGGCTCTTTCCCGTGACCGTGCCCCCTTAGTTTCCATTCGGCCTCCTTGGCTCCCGTGGTTGCCACTTCGGTTGTTGGGTTGGGATGTGTTTTTTCGTGCAAAGTAATTATGTGTTAATGTTGTGGTGTTTAGAATTCCTATGGGAATTTAATGTTAGTGTCTTTTGGTCTTCCCCTTTCATACCTATATATATATATATATATATGGGGGGGGTATTGTAATAATTTAGATAGTTGAATGAAAATGTTATTTTTGGAAAAGTTATAACCTGCGGGTTTGCTTTGGAAATCCTGCGGGCTCTTTCCACCCTTCTTTTCTCATCCCCTCCGGAAATCCTGCGGGCTCTTTCCAACCTTTCTTCTCGGGCTTCTAACCTCTTTCGTCTCTCCGCAAGTGCCACTCCACCTGTATCCCTCTTCTCTAAGTGCAGCAACTTTAGGGTGTCTTTGAGCGTCGTTTGTAGTCTTTTAATTTCATCTTTTTATTTTATTTGAAATGTAAGAGTTTGTTCATCATTTTTTCTCGTCTTTAGTCATTTTCATCGGTGTCGTTTCGTTTCTTTTTTGTGATCAAAAAATATAGGCTCCCTATATTTTTTGATCGCATCATTTTGGTATCAGAGCAAGTTAATAAGTCCTAGATTTGTGGTTTGTCAAGTTGTAGTTTGTCAAATTTTATTTTGATTGTCAAATTTTGTTGTCAAGTCTGAGTTTGTCAAGTTTGTCGAGAGTTTTGTGAGTCTTGAGTCGTAAAAGAATTGTGAGTCTAAGTTTAGGTTGAGTATTTCTGTGAGTCTTGTAATTTTTGAGTCTTTTTTGAGTCTGTCAAAAATTGAAAAAAAAGACAAAAAAATTGAAGAAAGCAAGGCAGAAGACATTGAAGAATCTATGGATAGATGGATCCCGCAAAATCAAAAAATCCACTGGAGTATGAATTATACAAGCTTCAATCATGGATGCACATACGGACAGAAAGATACTTCAAGAAAAAGCAGCGCTTACAAGACAAATTCTTGAAAGAGAGAGATGAGATCATGCAGAAGTATGAAGATCTGATCAATGAATTAGATGCGCCGTCTTCAACTCCTCAAGAACAACCAGAAGCGAACTCATCGGGAGATGAGTTTCTCAAGAAGGGGAGTCTGATGTAGACAAAGGGGGGGGTCAACACATGTCAAAAATAATATGATTTTTGGCTTCTCTTGAGTCTACTAGCTCAAATAAATTTGAGCTGGAATTTTAGCTCATTTATGAGCTGGTCTTTAGTTCATATATTGAACTAAGGGTTAGCTCATTATTAGCAAATATTTTAGTTCATTTATTATCTTACTATTTATTAAATGTTATTTAGAGTTTTAAAGTCTTCTTTTATGATGTCTCTTGGGGTTCCAAAAAGGACTTTTAGAATCCCAAGAAAGGTGTTTTGTATTCCCATGCATGACTCCTTGGTTTCCTCCATGATTTCATTGCATTTGCCCCCTTGGATTCCGGCCGGCTGCTGGTTTCCCGTGCCTGGGCTCTTTCCCGTGACCCTTAGTTTCCGTGCGGCCTCCATGGCTCCCGCGGTTGCCACTTCGGTTGTTGGGTTGGGATGTGTTTTTTCATACAAAGTAATTATGTGTTAATGTTGTGGTGTTTAGAATTCCTATGGGAATTTAATGTTAGTGTCTTTTGGTCTTCCCCTTTCATACCTATATATATATGGGGGGGGTATTGTAATATTTTAGATAGTTGAATGAAAATGTTATTTTTGGAAAAGTTATAACCTGCGGGTTTGGTTTGGAAATCCTGCGGGCTCTTTCCACCCTTCTTTTCTCATCCCCTCCGGAAATCCTGCGGGCTCTTTCCAACCTTTCTTCTCGGGCTTCTAACCTCTTTCGTCTCTCCGTAAGTGCCACTCCACCTGTATCCCTCTTCTCTAAGTGCAGCAACTTTAGGGTGTCTTTGAGCGTCGTTTGTAGTCTTTTAATTTCGTCTTTTTATTTTATTTGAAATGTAAGAGTTTGTTCGTCCTTTTTTCTCGTCTTTAGTCATTTTCATCGGTGTCGTTTCATTTCTTTTTTGTGACAAAAAAATATAGGCTCCCTATATTTTTTAATCGCATCAGAAAGGGATTTAGAGATTGCCTTATTTAGGATCTTAATCTAGGAAGAAATAATTTAAATCAAATCCAATTATAAATTTAATTGGATATAATTTAAATAACTTTCCTAAAATGGAGAAAACCTAATTTATGAAACAAATTCAAATTCAAATTTAACTTTTGAATTCAAATATGGTACTAAAATTGGGGAGGCTAAAGTAGGAAGGTCATAAATGAAAGGGGGAATTGAGGATCCTATAGGGAAAGGTTGGATAGGCCGATGGTGTCGAGGTGATGAGGTGGAGGTGATGGGGCTAAAGTAGGAAGGTCATAATTATGGTGAAATGAAATTGGAATCAAGAGAACTTGAAGGTGGGCCGACAGTGGGGTGTAGGGGAAACAAGGCCGGCGATGGGGGGTTTTGAGGAGGGTGTAGCCGACGAATTGGGTGGGGGAAAATGCTTGGCCGGTGGGTTGTGGGGTAGCAGCCAACGGTTGGAGATGGGGGAAAGAAAGGTTGGTGGTTTTGGAAAATAAGGAAAAACAAAACAAAGAAAAAAGAGATAAAACCGCGAGCATTTGACTCTTCCAAAAACTGACGGGTATTGCGTTGCCCTTCATCAAGGGACTTCAAGCCACGAGCCCGAACCCATCCTGCGGCTGGTGGAAACTCTGATCTCGGTCGTCGATCTTCGTCTCTTCCTTTGATTAACGTCCAACGTCGGATGTCCGCATCAGTTCATACAACTTTGCCTTAATAGAAAACTCGCATTCTTTACTATTGAAATTGCTTTATCATTTGCATTTAGAGTTTAAAGAGGAATGGAAGTTCGGTAATTCATGTTCTATATATTTTTTTTTTCAAGGGAAAATTAAGGTTATCATACAAAAAATACACAAATTCTACTGTCATTAGATAGGAATTTTTTATGACCAGAAGTTTTCACAACCAGATATACTGTTGTTTCATCAATCTCTATTCGTTTTGATGTTGTTAAAAAAAAATAAAGATTGATGCAAGAAAAGTATCTAGATGAAATACAAGAGAAATTAGCCTAGCACAATCTAAACTCTAATTTTAATTAGATAATGATGCATTCTAGAGAAAGCAAGCAAAAGAAACGAACAAGTCCTATCAACTAAGAAAATATCATCAAGGTAATTCACATCACAGAGAAAAAGTAATCCAAAAAAAAAGATGGTGATTTCCTTAATTGGTAAGTATGTGCAAAAAAATCATACTATCACAATCCGAACATTTTACTGACTAGATTTTGATGCATGCAACAAAAATTTGCAAGGTCAAAGAGAGACGAAAAGAGAATAGAGGAAATTTAATGGAAAAAAAAATGACAAAGGATTAATGTTGCATACTCTTAACACCTAAAATGTTGCATGAGCAAAATCTAATATTCAGAAGCTCACCGTTATTAACTGATTTACGCAATAGAAAACAAAACTACTACTAATAAAGCCAAGTGAAGAGGGTACAAATTGCATAAAAGGATGCAAGTTCTTACAAGCTCCTCGCAACGATCAGAAAGGACAAGCAATTGGGAACCACTGAGAACGGCTTCATCAGCTGCCTCACAGAGGTTCTTCAAAGCCTTTTCCAACGAGCCATCCAAACCTTTACCAATATCAAAAAAGGCTGGCAATACTTGAGGTTTTAAATAAGGATCCTTCATCAATGCCTCAAGTTCCCCCTCATTCAAAACAGGACTAGATAAAATAACCTGTACAAAAAGTAATACTGAATTCAGTTAAACGATAATGCAGATCTTGCAGAGACACCAATAAAAAGGCATAAAGTTTACATAAATATATCTAGAAAGCAAACCAGTAGTCGCAAACCTGCGAAGCATTTTGTGGTCCAACTCCTAAAATATTTCCACGTTTGCCAATATTCACCTCTAGTGACATGACCAAACCTTCTCTGAGGGGGTCAATAGCAGGATTCGTGACCTAAAACACAAGAAAAAACATATATCGCAATTTGAATATCAATATCGCAAGTGATAGTGAAATAGATGGAGAGATTATTAGTAGAATTCAAGTTGGATGGTTGAAGTCAAGTAATGCATCGGGCCTATTGTGTGACAATAAAATACCACTCAAACTTTAAGGAAAATTATATAAGATGGTGATGAGACCTACAATATTTTATGGTGCAAAATATTGGCTATTAAAAGAGAACCATAAATTTATGTTAAGTGTTGAAGAGATGAGGATGCTCAAGTGAATGAGTGACTTTACTCTTAAAGATAAAATGCAAAACAAGTATATATTTAAAAAGGTTGGAGTAGCTCCAGTGGAAAATAAGATCAAAGAGCCTTAGATGGTTTGGCCACATAAAGTGTCAGCCTTTTGATGAATTAATAGGGAGAGTAGATGTATTAGATTTTGACTCAAGTTAAGACATGTAGAGGTTGACCCAAAAAAAAAACTTGGTTAGAAAGTATTAGAAATGACTTTTTTAATTAGATTTAAATGAGAATTCAACTCTTAATAGGACACAATGGAGAAAAAGGATTCACGTAGCTGACCCCACATATTGTCATTAAAGCTTGATGTTGTTATTGTTGTTGTTATTGTAAGCTCAAAAGTACACATCCAGGCTAACCAAAATAGCTGAAGTCAAATAAGATGAATTACTATAACGAAGAAAAAAAATCATTTGACTTCATCCAACTTAGGGCTATAAGTATGATTTCATGAATAAAGGCTGTCCTTAGCTGCCCATGCAAGCCAATTCAAAGAAGGAAACAGCTATAATGTTTTGATTAATGAATAGGATGGTCAAGAACTAGCTCATCATACTACAGTGAGAGTACAATTGCCAAAATAAGAACCAGCAGCAATAACTAAAACAATGGTTAACCTGCGTCTTTAGGTCTTTATTTACATACAGCAAACTATTTCCGCTTGAAACAAAAACATAATCTAAGAAATTTCAGTAAGATATATCTGCTAAGAAGCTTGTGAACAGAAACACACAAAACAAATAATGGTCAAATCCTTAAATTTTAAAAGAAAGGACTGTAGTTTGTTGAGATTTATCTGAATTAATTCGGCTAGTTAAATAGATTACAGAGGTTGAAAATAAGGATATAAGATTTTACAGACTTGGACTACAAAACATAATATATTCTAACGCTGATAGAGAGGAGAGAGAACAAAAACTCTTCTGATTCATGTACACAACTAGCATCCTAAGATCATTCAAATGGTCTCATAAATAATTAGATCTTACTCATTCATCAATCCCTCAATTCTCAATTTAATTCCAAGCCATGCAAAGATAAGGCCAAATTTTAAATAACATCTAATATATTCATATCTTGAAATCAAATTCAAACCTAATTTATCCAAAAGAAGATAATTGAACATGTTGAAATCTAGTCGTTTACAGTACAGAGGATCCGACGGACACAAAGATCAATCCGTGGGATGCTCTCATGGATCACGCCTTATGAAGGAACGAATTTAGGAAAGATTTTATTAGAAAATTTTATGTATTTTATTATTTCCTCATTAGGATATCTTGTATAGATCTATAAATAGGGAAGATTGTAATGAATAAAGACAAGCTTTTCCCTCTCAAGTTCCAGATTTCAACATGGTATCAGAGCCATCGACCTTTATTGCCGTGGAAGAAAGATCCTAGATCACCAAAGGAGAACAGGAGGAAGAAGAAGCCACCAGAAGACAAAGTCGGAAGCTGAAGGAGAAAAAGAAAGAGGAAGAAGGGATCCGAAGAGAAGCCAAACCATGCGAAACATGTTGCGACTACCTTACCCACTGTCGACACGAAGAAGTAGACTGGATCTGAGCCCCGCGACTCGCTCTCGCCGCGTCCGCTACCGATCCGAGCGGAACGAACCACTCTCGCCACGTCTAAATCGCTGTCGATCTGAGCCGAACGACCCACTCTCACCGCACAGACGCCGAAGCCGCCACCAACCGAGCACCCGCTGCCCGTGCGTGACTCCCGCGTGCAGCTGGAGAGGCTGAACCGTGTGTGCCTTGGTATCCAACCCGAGTCCTTTAAAAACTCGGCCTGACCCGGTCTAAAAAAAATCCTTATCAACCTTTATTGTCGAACAAGGGAAATTTATTTCCGGGAAGCCTTCATTGCTAACCAAGGTAGATAGTTTTAATCACTATCACAATGTCAGAAATCAATTCCTCCGAAAGTATTGGCCAAACGAAGGTGTCGATAGTGCACCAAGGATGAGGTGATCTTCAAAGCATGCAGCCTTCCTATCGTCTAAATGGGAAGAACCACCTGAAGTGGTCTCAATTTGTGAAGACCTACTTGAAGGGGAAAGGTAAAATACATCACCTCCTTGGAGGAGGACCAAAAGAAGGAGATCCCAAATTTGGTGCATGGGATGAAGCAGACTCCATGATTATGTCATGGATGTGGAATTCCATGACTCCAGAAATTAGTGATACATTTATGTTCCCTTCGACTGCAAAGGACATATGGGATGTTGCCAGACAAACCTTCTCCAAAGCTCGTGATGCGGCTCAAATCTTTGAAGTTAAAGTCAAAGTTGGGAGCACGAAGCAGGGGAGTAAGACAGTGACGGAGTATGCCACCATTCTACAAAATCTGTGGCAGGAACTTGATCACTATAGGTGCATTGAAACCAGATGTCCAGAGGATGCTGCGATCCTAAAGAACTTTATTGAAAAAGATAGAGTTTATGATTTCTTGCAGGACTCAATGCAGAATTTGACCAAGTTAGAGTTCAGATCCTCGGCAAAGAGGATACACCATCACTCAATGAAACTATTTCTCTCATCCAAGGAGAAGAAAGTCGACGAGAAGTGATGTTAGAACCAAAGGTCGTTGAAAGCTCAGCAATGGTGATGAACAAAGAATCATCATGGAAGGAGAAAGGTAAAGATTCTTCAAAATTCAAAGATAAAGACTCACTTTGGTGCAGCTATTGCAAAAAGTCAAGACAAACAAAAGAAACATGTTGAAAGATACATGGAAAACCCCCCAACAAGGAGTGGAATCAAAAGAGTGAAACAAGGAGCACATCACATGCCAACAACACTACAAGTAAGCTAGAAGCACAGTTCAGGCTTGGATAATTCAATACAAAAGATATTGATAAATTGAAACGACTCCTGGTATCTCTTGAAAAACCAAATGCTTCTTCTTCACTTGCACTCTCAAGTAAAACTTCAATCTCTATTAGTTTAAGTGCTTCCAGAAATCATCTAAAGGAATTATGGATCATTGATTCAGGAGCCACAGATCACATGACCCACTCACCTACCTGCCTCATAAACTATACTCCTTGCCCAAACAACAAGAAAATCATCACTGCTGATGGTTCTCTTACCACGGTAGCTGGCCAAGGAGACATAATATTGTCTCCATCACTCATCCTGAAAAATGTCCTCCACGTACCACAATTATCCACAAATCTAATATCAATACAAAAACTTACCAATGATCATAATTGTCAAGCATTATTTAACCCTACTTATTGCTTATTTCAGGATCAGAGATTTTTGGGAAAGAAGATTGGACTTGCTAAGGAGAGAGCAGGATTGTACTACCTGGAAGAACCAAACCAATCTAATAATAGTTGCTCTATATTATCCCTAGTCGATAGGAATTCCATTATTTAGCTTCATCATTATAGATTAGGACACCCATCATTTGATGTCCTAAGACATGTATCCACACATCTTTTTCAGAAATTAAAAAATAAAAATTTTCATTGTGAAACATGTGAGTTAGCTAAACATAAAAGAACTTCATTCCCAAACAAAAGTGAGAGATGTGACACTCATTTCTACCTTATTCATAGTGATATATGGAACCCTCAAAAACTCCCAATATCTCTAGGGCACGCTGGTTTGTGTCATTTATTGATGATTGCACTAGAGTCTCTTGGATCTATCTCCTTAAAAATAAATCTGATGTTAGCGCCATTCTTTCCATCTTTCATACCATGATCAAAAATCAATTCAGGGTAAAAAAAAGAAGATTCCGCTCCGATAATGCAAAAGATTATTTTAACCAAACCTTTTCCAAAATACTTCCAGAGTAAAGGGATCATCCATGAGTCCTCATGTGTTCACACCCCACAATAAAATGAGGTTGCAGAGAGGAAAAATGGTCACCTTCTAGCCTCCACCCGAGCCTTCCTATTTCACTACAATACACCCAAATCCTATTGGGGGGAAGCTCTTTTAACTGCAGCCTATCTCATAAACCGATTACCTTCAACAGCCTTAGGACTCAAAACTCCAATGGAGATTTTGTCCTCTTTTTATCCAGAGTTTCGAACCCATCAGAATCTTGCGCCCAAAATCTTTGGATGCACTACCTATGTTCATATTCACAGCCAGGAGAGAGGAAAGTAAGATCCAAGAGCACTCAAATGCATCTTTATTGGCTATTCAGCTACCCAAAAAGGTTATACGTGTTATCAATCACCCACAAGAAAAATTCTTGTCTCTATTGATGTTACATTTTATGAGCAAAAATCTTATTTTTTCAAACCTCATCTTCAGGGGGAGATTAAATTTGAGGAAGATGAGGAAACTGAACTAGCACCTCTTGACCTTTCTCCACCACCTCAAAACAATCCACCTGAAACCCAAGATGGGAAAACAAATGACAAAGCTATCATTAGATTTGAAAAGGTTTACTCCCGACGTACAAGCTCAAGCTGTACTCCAAAGCAGATCCAAGAATCTGAACCATCTCCTGAAAATAAGGTAAGCTCACCACCTCCCTTATACCCTATAAACAACTCTATATCCTTCAACAACTTCTCATCGTCACACAAAAAATTCCTTGTTACATTAGAAGATATCCATATTCCTAAAGATATTTCTGAAGCCTTATCTGATAAGAATTGGAAAAATGCCATGAAAGATGAAATGCGGGCCTTGGAAAAGAACAAAATATGGGAGATCGTCAATCTACC